GTATCCTCTTGGGAAGGGGCAGGCAGTCATCCACACTGTTGTCCCAGGGGTTGCCATGGGCCCATCATTCAATGCCAGCGAGACTGTCGGTGGTTGTGGACGAATCAATTAGAAGCACTTTGGGTTAAATGCAAGTCCCTTAAATGAGTCCATCCCCGGCCCGAGGTGTGTGCTCCCCTGCGGAAGAGTGCCCAGGGTGTGAGCAGGGCCGAGAACACTCCATCCTGGCCTTCAGAAGACCCTTTCTAGGTGGGAGTCTGTAGCCAGGACCTGCGTGGGACCTAATGAGGAGCGCCTGGCAGCCTTCAATTATGTGCCCAGCCCTGGCTCGGCACCGTCTGACTGACAGCTCATTACCCTGCTGCCATTTTTGGAGAGTGGAATTTAATCTCCCAGGTGGGAAGCAAATCAATCTGCCCATCTACCACAGCTGGGCCTGTGCTCACTCCACGTTAATTTATTCTCTGAAGCTTAGGAAGCCTTGTTGTTTCAAAGTACGGAAATACCAGGTTTCCCAGCCAGGCAGGCAGCTGGCCGAGAGGGGCTCGCCTGGGTCCCAGCATGGGCCCTGCAATCGTGCTGGTGGTCAGCCGGGGAGGTGTGGTCACTTCTGCCTCAGGCTCATCCCTGGGGAGGCTGTCTGGGGGCAGGAGGGGACGGAACACCCAGTGCTCAAGGTGGGAGATGCTCGGTGGGAACCTGCCACCTCTGTCTGAGCCTGGGGGCTCCCTGCCTGTGCTTGCTGTGACCATCGCTTGCTTTCAGAGCCTGGGGGAAAGGATGATGTGGAGGGAGTCCTCTCCGACTCTGCCGGCAAGCAGCTACAGCCAAGGCTCAAACTTGTGACACGAGGGGTGGGGCTGGTTTTCTCCTCTGTCTGCAGGGGACATGGGAGGACTTACTTTGCAGTGAGGGCAAGACCTGAGCCATGCAGCTTGGGGGGGCGCCTCACAGCTATAGAACTCACCCTGGAGGGGCCAGGGCCCCAAGAGGGGGCTCTGAGCAGACAGACGACCCACACGTGGCTCCCGCCACGGAGACGGTCCACTTCTCCTCTGGAGACAGTGGTCCTGGCTGGCTTCTGCTGGGCAGGAGCCTCCCTCCCGCCCTGGGACGGAGAGGGTCTCTGGAGCCGTGTGTGTGTGTGTGTGTGTGTGTGTGTGTGTGTGTGTAAATGTGTCAGTGTGTGCCACGATGCCTGCGTGAGTGCAAGTGTGAGAATGGATGAGCGTGCAAGTGTGCGCGCTCACACACACTGAGTGTGACTGTGTGTTGGGGGGCTGGGGGAGCGGGCAGGAGAGTGCTTTTCCTGGGGAGAGTTGCTAAGACACTCATTCTCGGAGTTGGATGGACAAAGCAGCCCGGCAGGGTTGGGCTTCAGGGGTCAGGGAGAGGGCAATCTGTTTACACACCTTTGCCAAGGAGCAGGGGTGGGGTGGGGTGGGGGTGGAGGTGCTGGGATTAATGAACACTTTGACTGCTTTGCCTGTCAGGAGGGCCAGGGGATATTATTTTGATATCAGGGGGGCCCCAGGAGCAAACACAACAGGCTCGTTCTAAAGGGAAGAAAGCCCCACCCTCGCCACCGAGTGTCCCTTTCTTCTCCAGAGGCTGCGAGGGGCCCCAAGACCCTGCACCCTCCCCAGCCCCTTCGGGGAGCCGGCTCTAAGGCGGCACCCAGGCCAGCTCCAAGATAACGCAGTGAAAACCAAATATCACTGTTGCTAATGAAAGGATCAGCCGAGACACCCCCCACCCCGCCCCACACCCACCTGTTTCCCCTCCCATGAGAGGGTTCCCCCCACCCCGCCAGGCGCCTGATGACGCAGCCTGAGTGACAGTCAGGAGCGAGAGGAGGCTCCCTCCTCAGCAAGGTTGGTCCTGGGGAGCGAGCGCGGAGGCATGCTGCGAGCCTGCGTGCGTACACATGTGTTTTCTCTCCCTCTCTGCCTTTTTCTGTCGGGACGGAACTGCAGCTGTGACCACACTCTGACCCTGGAAGTGAGGGAGGAATTCTGTCAGATAAACAAACCCATGGGTGGATCGTTCCGATGCTGGGGACGGGGGCTGGGCGCAGAGGCCGCAGCTGAAGTGACTCTGTCCTGGGGGACGTGGCGAACGACGCCCCTGCCCCAACGGGGGCTGAGGGAGCAGCCTACCTGCTGTCCTGTTACATATCACCTGGTCCTTGGAGTTCTGAGGATCCAGGCCCTCCCACGAAGCCCAGCGGCAGGTAACAGGGCCTCAGAAGCCCCCACACTGAGCCATGAGCCTCAGACTGTCTTGCAGGCTCTTCCCTGCAGGTCCCGCCTCCACGGGGCACGGGCAGCATGTCCCCCCACCTGCCTTTGTCAGTCTGGGGCCTCAGTCATCATGAGCACGCAATGGGTCCTGATGGCCACTGAATGGCCTTAAATGCACCAGCAGCTTCTCTCTACTCCTTCAGGGGTGGCGGCCCGGAGGCCTTTTCTCACTGGAGACCAGAGAACAGGCGTGCTGGGTGGATGCCAAAGGAGGGCCCGGCTCCCGCGGGAGTGGGGAGCATTGGTTGTAGTTGGAGCTGGGCTCACGTCCCCGCTCTACCACTCGTAGCTGCGTGACCTGGGAAATCTGTGCCCCTTCTCTGCTCCGCAGCACTGGCTGTGAACCTGACCCGACTCCGCTTACAGCCCACGAGAGGCCTGGGAACGACACCCACCTCTCTAGGAAATGCAGTCCATGCCCTGTCCGCTCCTGTGTCTTCCTTTTCTGTCAACGGGGCTTCCTGCAGACCTGCCTTTTGAACAGAGGCATGGATGTGTGCGTTGCAGGAGGGCCCTTGCAAATGCACCCCTTTGTTTTATTTTTCAAGTAATGGGCTTTCAGTGCCAGCTCTCCGCCCCTGGCCCTAGACACGAGGCTGACACCAGACAGCGGTTTCTCCTGTTCCAGCTGAGAAGACTCGCTGGGTGGTTTGGGGGATGATGGGAATCCCAGGAGGGTCTCCTGGCTCTCTTTCCCAGTATTTCTTGGAGAAATACTTGGAGTCCTCCTTCAGAGAGCCTGTCTCTCCGGGGCGCAGTGCACCTTGTATTATTGAAAGTTGAGCAACATCTAGGTGATTATGGTCAACAATTCATGCAACCCTTGACAAATGCAATTTAATTCTTTTGTGCAGTGACAAGAGGGCAGGCGCCCCAGCTGCGTGTCTCTGTTTCCTTCCCCAATCCTTTGGGCGACATCTAGTGGGCGAGCTTTGTAAAATGCTGGCTTTGCTTCCCCTGGCTTTGGGAAGCCCATTCGAAAAACCTGGTTTCCAACTTCATGCTCATTGTGCTTCTGCCTCTGTCCAAATGAGGAGCAACATCAAGGCCAAACGGGTTCCTGGGTTTCTGAGATAAGGGTGCCATCAGGGGAATGTCGGGTCTGACCCTGGTCAGGTGTTGGCAGCGGGCTCACAGCCAGCTTCCACGTCCTCGGCTGTCAGGCAGACCGGGCAGGATTCTTGCAAGAACAAGACAAAATGATGTCCATGATGGCTTAGTGGTCCCTGGGACACGGTCCAGGTTATGGCCAGCGAGGATGTCCGCCAAAGGGGGTGGGCTGGCACTGCGGCGGCAGCAGAGGTAGCGGCCGTGGCCGCGGCAACAATGGGCTCAAGTACAGGAGCAACCAGGAGGGTGGTGCGAGACCGGGCGGCGTCTCGGCCTGTTCGTACGCGGGGTCTCAGAGTCCAGTCTGAACCAGCTGGACAGCACGGCAGTGTCTCCTGACCCCGCGTGGAACAGAACGACACTGCCTGGCCGCGCCCTCACTGTGGCCTTTGACCTGTCCATGGCACCATGGTCCTAGCTACCGCCTTAGCCCCCTCGGGGGCCTGCAGGTGTCCCGTGTGAAGCGGCATCCTGCTAAGACACACCTTCGTGAGGAGATGGTCATCAAGGGACAGAACCTAGACCCAGCATAGAGCTGGGGGAAAGAAATCAGACAGACTGGGGAGTGCTCTCAGAGATGGAGACCCGGGGCAGGGTGGGGTCGAGCCTGGTCAGGGTCTCCCGAGGCGGCGGGAAGTGATCGTTGCCATCTGTCCAGGAAGAGTGGGGACCTGCTGCTTCCTGCTGGTGAGCCTGCTTTAGAAGAAGACTCTTGTTTCTTAGTGGAGGCAGAACCGGCTCCTGTGCGTTTTAGGCAAATTTAGAGGAAGGTCAAAGTGTCTCTGGTATCCAGCCAATGGGTTATCTGTTCTGCCCCAACTAGGATCTGACTCATCTACGCCCCTGTGAGCAGGGGTGTATGTTAGCAGCGCACCTAGGGACCTGGATGGTAGCTCTTGGCACCCTTCTCTTCATGCACCCCCACCCATTAGCCCGCCCCCCGAGCTCCAGCAGAGGGCTGGGGGCCTGTCCAGGCCCAGCCATGAGTGGGAGTCTCTCTGGAGCAGGTGTGGGGGGACACAGCTGGACTCAGCACCACCTATCACCGGTCAGGTTGGAGACACCTCCATGTCCTCGTCTCACGTGGAGTGGACACGCTATCCCTGGGGCCCCAGGATGGAACGAGACACCGGCCCTTTCTACCAACCACTAGGGGACTGCGGAGCACCACCCACCGGGGCTGCAAGGGCCGCGTGGTGCCCCGTGGGAGTGGGCAAGCTGCCCCGCCCTCACCCCTGCACCCTCACCCCCACTCCCATCCCCAGACAGAGCTCCCGGGCACAGTAACTTGAGACACTGGTCACAATAACAGTTCAACATTTTACTAAAACAACTCACACAGATTCCAAATTGCAAATATAATTAAAGACAACGGGTTTTCTGCCTTTTAAATCTTTCATTTTCAAAGTCATTAAGATGGTAAGTAAACAACAATAACAACAACAAAAATTGGGTCTCTGGCAAATTCATGATCTTTTCTCTTGTTCTTGAGGAGAGAGGAAAGGAGCGTCATAGTACAGAGTGTGCCACCGGGAGAGGGGCGGCGCTGGGGGCCAATGCGGGCGAGGCGCCGCCCCTCCCTCCCTCCCTCCCGCTGCGCCCTGCCCTGCCCACCCGGGCTCGTGAAAACCAAACCATGAGCTCTTCTCCTAGGTTACAGGCAATCAGACACAGCCTATGACCCAGGGCTTCCACAACAGCAATGCCAACGCTCAGTGCTAACGTAAGAACAGTTTAGAAGGTCAAAACATTTAAACCGGAAACCAAAACCTTATTCCCCCGATGAGCACAACTGAAGATGACAGGGCGCCGCCTCCCCGAGCAGTGAGGGGGGTTGGTTTTCTTCTCGCTTTCTTTCCAACGGGAGGCGGGGACAGGGCGGGCCTGGCTCTGCCACCTAGTTGGCATCCAGCTTGGCCATTTCCTGCACGTAGATGCCTATGCTCTCGCTGTCGAACAGCACGAAGTGCACGGTCTTGATTGAAGAGGCCATCGTCGACACGAAGTAGCTGGAGATGGCCTTCAGGATGAGCTGGGCCGCCGTCTGCTTGGGGAAACCGTTCCTGCAGGAGACAGCACAGGCTCTCAGCACACACACAGGGACGCGGGTGGGGGGTGCACGGCGGTCGTGGGGCCCACTCATCCCCAGGGGTCACCCGGTCCAGGGCCTCCATGTGCTGGAGGCTGACCATCGGCAGATGCAGGAGAGGCCAGACCTTCCCAGGTGCTGGCACGGACAGGGGACAGCGGGCCGAGCTGCGGGCGCATGCGCCTTCTGAGCACGGGACGTCTGCAGTAAGGGGGCCCCCAAGGAGCGGACGCTGGTGTCCCTGGCGCTCCGCAAGGCAGCAGGGCCTCGACGGTGCTCCCCTTCCTGGTCTCACCAGTGTGGTGCTCAAAACCCACCCTGGGCGGCAGACCCTCCCTCCCCTGGGGCGGCTCTCCAGGGAGATAACATGCCCTTCACGCTGGTCTTCAGACTGGCGGTGGCCAGGAGCCCTGCCTCAGACACAGCAGCGGTGCCAGGCCACCCCACCCTCCTGGCCACTGGAGTCTCTGGAGACTGTGGACCTCTCCCTGCAGTTCGTCTTGCACGGCACTTGGGACTGGAGAAGCTGCAATCACGGAGGGAAAGCATGTCAAGGTGTCCCTTGTGGGGGGGGCGCGGGGGCCGCAAACAGCATGGCAGCTTATCCGTGGAGGGTAACACGTGAGGTTAGGCCTGGGCTTAAAATCCCTCCCTAACCCTATTGCACACTTCAGGGCCCTGGGGATAAAGGGCTTGGGCTGGCCTGCTGGGGGTGGGGGGTGTTTTCCCTTCATTTGGCAACTCTGGTGGACAACTGCTACCAGACCCTGAAGGTGGGGTCTGCTGTTCCACGCCTCCCCTGGTGCACTACCTGCCTGCCGGGCTTGACCCGGGCCTTTGGTCAGCCACGCTTCCTCTGCCACCCCAGCAAAACTGTTCCTGTAGCTTGTGGCGCATCAGACCTGGTGTGGCCCAGCTTGAAGGGGGCTCCTAGCATCTTCTGGGCGCTTCAAACACAGAGCCTGTTTTCAGAGGGCAGAGGGGCACCAGCACAGGGCATGGCACACTCCCAGCCTGTGTGGTCAGTGGGATGCACCGGACTCCTCACTCACTGAGGCCATGCCAGACAGTGGCTCACAGGACAAAGGTGATGAGGACAGAGTCTCGGGCTGAATGGAGTGGCCAGCAGTGGGCGTGGGCGTGGGCCAGGGCCAGGGCAGGAAGCAGGGCATGCAGGGAGATGGCCACAAGGTGAGGTCGTTTCTCCAGTCTTGGTTCTGAAAGCTCAGGCCGGGTGTGTGCTGTTCTCAGCACAGCCTGCTCAGCTGCGGTGACTGTGTGATCCAGGCCCCCAAGGCCAATCCCAGGGCCGTCGGGTAGATTCTGAGTCCTGGGGGCCCTCGAGGACAGAGTAGAACTACTGCCTGGGGGTTCCAACACCAAATTCTCAGGGGAGTAGAGAGTGGGTCTGAACTGCTGCCCACCAGGGCTCTGTACTGAGGAGCCAGGGGAGAGGTGCTCAGCCTGTATGCTCAGCCTTCCCTTGGTGGGCATGAAAAGGGAGTGCATGAGCCTTGTGGGCCGCCCACCTGCTGCTGTGAGGCGTGTCGGGTGGCAGGACCGGCCTCCCTCCACCTGGACCTGCTCCGGAGATGAGGAGAGGGTCAGCTGTGGCGTGCAGCTGTGCAGGCACAGGGTTGCAGGGTCGCAGGAATAGAGCCCATTTTACGTGCCTCACAAAGAGTGAATGTTTACTTTCCTGCTGTAAATACAGCTGCTGCCAGAAGAGCTGATCAGATTACGATCCCATTAATCTCATTTCCATCAAGAGGGGCGAGGGGCACCAGCAAGCGCCCAGACTGGCAGGAGTGGAGCGCAGGGGGAGGACTTGGCCTGCAAGGGGAGCGGCTCTACCCGGGCCCACAGCGCTCCAGGAACTGGTGGGCTGAACTGGCGGAGCCATCTGGGACTGCATGGCAAGGGGCTGCGAGGACCACGCCATGTCTTATTGACTCCAAGGTCCCTCTAAGAGGGTGTCCCACACCTGCACAGTGAGCTGTGCTTGGGGGTGGGGGCTGGGGGAGGTGGCTGGGAGACCTCCAAGAGCCACTGCTTCCAGTGTGGCCCCAGTTGGAGCTGGCCCTGGTGCCGGGCGGCTTTAGATGGCTGAGCTGGACAGGGTGCAGATCCACAGTACAAGCCCAGGCTCCTTTGTCCCTGCTGACCACAAGGCCCCCCAAGGGGTGCCTGCCCATGCCCACCCCTTTCTGGCAGACCCTCCCACAGCTCTCTATCAGGGGCTGTGGAGCTCTCCGTGAGGGAGTGTTCTTTGCTGTCCTCTGTATCGCTACTTCTCAAACTTCAGCCGACACCCGCATCAGACGGCTCATGAAACAGACGCTGGGCTCACCAACTCTGGCCCCAGGAGCCTGTGGGGACTGCACCTGGAGAACCACTGTTCTACATGCAAGGTGCCCTGACAGCACTGCAACGTGTTGGGCTGCTAGTCAGAGGGCTGGAGGTTCAAATCCAGCAGCCGTTTAGTGGGAGAAAGATGAGACTGACTGTGACCGAAAAGATGTAGTCTGGGAAACCCTTTAGAGCAGTGGTTCTCAACCTTCCGAATGCTGCAACCCTTTAATACAGTTCCTCATGTTGTGATGACTCCC